ATGGGCATTGGGTGTGCCATCACACATGTGGATGTCAAAGGATAACTTTCAGGAATTGGTTCTCTCCTTTCACTATGTGAGTTCTGCGGATCAAACTCAGGTTATCAGGCTTGGAAGCAAGTACCTTTATTCACTTGCTGAGCCATCTCAGGGCTGGCCACAGGCCTTGGAAGACTGCATTTTAATAAAACTGGAGATGCATACTAATTGCATTGCTATCTTAATGAAAATTCTCTGCACTGTGATTTCAGAGGACTGATGATTTGTCTCAAGGACTTGAAGTTACACTGTGGTATAATGCCACTCTTTCAGCCAGCAAGATGGCTCAGTGAGTGAATAAAGGTGCTTGCGGCTAAGCCTGACAATCTGAGTTTGATCCCTGGGAACAAAACAGTGCAAAGAGGGAACCTCCACGTGTATTCTGTGCCTCCCCTACCCCACAAAAATAAAATAAGTGTAATTTAAAACATGACACACTCTCTGAAGCCCCTGCCACAAGCAGAGGAAACCTGAAACAATTCCTTACCCCCAAATCCAGGCAAGCTCCTCCCTCACTCATAAGAAGAGTCACCATGTCTGAGTCATTTGCCTGCATGCAGTTCTCGTCTCTGTTCTGGCCTCTCGCCTCAGGACCTTTGCACAGCTGCTCCCTCTGCCTGGATGTCTTTCCTATGTCCACACAGTTTGCCCCTACCTCCCTGGCCTTTGCTTAAATGCCACCTTTCTTTGCAGGGCACTTGCTGTTATTTAATATGCATCTAACAACCTCCACCCACGTCTTCTCTATCCCGAATGGCTCTCAGTGCTAACTGGCATATTGGGTATTTTATTTATGTCTTCCTATTCCTCATCTACCCACACTTGACCATCAGCTTCTCAAGGACAGAAATTATTCAGTTATTGGTTGCAGTCTGGTGATGAAGCCCGGGGCCTCCTGCTTGCTGAGATGAAGTTTTCCTCTCCCCTCCCTTTGCTTCTCTAGGAGGAATGGAGGTCAGGGTGTCCTGCATGCCACTGACCCACACCCCAGCTCAGACAAATTTTTTTCTTTTGTACATCTGTTTATTCTCTGTGTGTGTGCATGTCATGGCACTCATGTTGGTGTCAGAGGGCAGTTGTTGGAGTTAGTTGTCTACTTCTACCATGTGGATCCCGGAGATCAAACACATGCCATCAGACTTGTCCATAATCACCTTTACCCTCTGCGCCATCTCACCAGCCCAGAGACAGAGTTTTTGCTAGTTTCGGTCACTGCTTTTCCCAGCACCAAGCTCAGAACCAGAATGCAGTGTTTACTAAACGTACAAGTGCTCACTATGTGACTGTGACTGTCACTGTGTTTAGCAATAATGAGAACAAAAAAATAGGTCTTTTGCTTAGCCTTAAACGTAACTTTTTTTCTCGTTGCCATGCTGGGAATGAAAGCCAGGGCCTCAGGGCGTCATGTGCGCTAAGCACATAACAGTCCTGCCTGCCTTCGCCTCGCTTTTGTTTGTTTTTGTTGGAGACAGGGCCTTGCTATGCAGCTCAGGCTGACCTCGAACTCACATCCTTCCAGCCTCAGCTTCGGAGCACTGAAAATCGTGCCAGGAATTGTACGCATGTTCAAATGTGTGTGGGTGCACATGCCTGAAAATTGATGCCAGGTGTTTCCCCCATCACTGAAGCAGAGTCTCACTGACCTCGGAGCTCTCAGTTTCAGCTAGTTTAGTTAGACAGCTTTCTCTGGGAATCTAGATTCTGCTTTCTGAGCTCTGGAATTATAGGCAGATTGCCACACCCATCTAGCTTTTATGTGGGTGTTGGGGATCAGAACTCCAGTCCTGCTTGTCAAGCACTGAGCCATCTTCTAGCCCCGAGATGAATTCTTAATCCCTGTGGCTGTTTCCTTCTTGACACACCAACTGTCAAACACCTGGATGAGACTTAAATTTCATTTCCCCTCTCCCATTAGAGACAGGGTCTTGCAACAGCCATATCCTCCATTTTTCAGAGGACACCGAAAGGCTCAGAGATGAAACTACCCAGCCACACAGCAACAGAGTCAACAGAGTGCTGGGGATGAGAAGACGACGGCTTGGTGGCTAAAAGTGCACACTGCTCTCACGGAGGACCCAAGTTCCCAGGAGCTATGTTGGAAGATCACAACTGCCTGTAACTCCAGCTCCTGGGGGGAACCAACATCTCTAGCCTCTGAGAGCTACATGCACTTGCATGCACATACCCTCACACAGACACAAACGCCCAATTTTTTCTTAAAAAATAAATAGTGCTGTGACCAGGATTCAATCCTGGGGCTGCTCAGCTCTGGGACTTGTTTTCTGGGGCTTGTCCAATGAGCAGGTGGTCAGATGGGGAGTGTGCTTGCTTTGGCTGTGGTTTCTACAGGCTGGGGGTGAAGGGCAGGCCTCTGCCAGGGTTTCAGTTCATATGGGGGGTCTGCTTTCTGGAATTTAGCAAAGACCACTGATCAGGATATTTTTGCCTGTCTTTGGGAAGGTGTGAGGGTGTAACTGACATACATTGTTTTGTGCCAGTACTTGCCTGGTGTCTGGGCATGTGCCCCATTTACATATCTGGAAATCCAAACAAACCTAGAAGATAGGTATTTATATATTTTTGTCTTGTACAGGGGATGGAACCCAGGGCTTTTGAGTATGCTAGGCAAGTGCTCTACTGCTAAGCTACAACTCCAGCCTTTTTTACTTTTATAAGATCTTGTGTGTATGTGTGTGTGCCGGTCTACACATGAGCATAGGTGCCCAGAAGCCAGAAGGCATCAGATCCCCCCTGGAGCTGGAGCTACAGGCAGTTGTGAACAGTACAATGTGGGTGCGGGGAGCTGAACTCCAGTTCTCTCCAAGAACATTTTATGATCTTAACCACTGAGCTATCTCTCCAGCCCGTCTTTTTATTTGCTGAGACAGGGTATGAGTTGCCCAGGCTAGCCTTGAACTTGCAACCCTTCTGCTTTACAAAGTCAAAATGGGACTCAACCCAGGAAGAAGTAACAGATGGAGAGAAAATACCTACCGTTTCTTCACACCCATTTCTGTCTGAACTGATGGACTAGAGTATTGGGAATGGGGAAACTATTGCCCTGTTGTACCCCAAGAGCAAGAAAAACAAAGCAATCGTGTAAAGAGAGAAGCATTCCTGAACTCAGCAGAAGCCACCAAGAAACTGGAAATATTTGTTGGGGATGGGAGTTGTTTTGTTATGTACCCTTTCCAGTTTCTGCTAATACAACCAAAAAAAAGAAACTGAAAAAATTAGAAATTAACTTACATAATCACAGGCACACTCTTGAATGCACATGCATGGACACAAACAAACCATGATTCCATTTCTTCTGTACCTGCTGCAATCAGGAGGGAGCCTCAGGCTCAGGTCAGGCTCTGCTTCCTGTTTCAGGTCAAATGTCCTGGGAGGCAGGGCCCATTCACACAGGGCCGGGGCTCTGTACTACTGTACTCCACCCCCAGCTCCTCACCAACAAGGATGTTACCCTAAGAACCCCCCCATTCCCAACTGTTGGGTGTATGTAAGTTTCCAGAACTGTGGACACCGTATATCCAAGCACATCCAAGTTCACAGGGATATGCTCCAGGTTGCAGTCACCTGCCAGGATCCTGTCTCTGGAGTGACCTGACTGGGTTCATACTCCACTAGCTGTCAGCGCTCTCAAACTGAGCTGTCAACAGCCCCCGATGGCCACAAGGATGTGTGTGGCAGCTGAGCACTTGGCATGTTTCAGAAGAGTTATTTTAACTCTATTTAAAGTAAAAGAACATACCACCACTGCAGAGTTCTAGCCTCTAGACCATTCTGAGGCTAACCTGTTCTCCTGCAGTGTGGGGGAAAGCAATTCTTAGGTCAATTTGTGTGTGGTGCTGGAACCAAGGGCCTTAGACTGAGTCAATACTCTACAGCTTAGCCACATTTTCAACTCTCAGTTTTTTTTAGAGAAAGTCTTATTTGTAGCCCAGGCAGGCCTTGAACCCTCCGTCTCTTGCCGAGTGCTAAAATTACAGTGGTACACCCAGGGTCTTCAGTGGACTTAAAGGTTAAGAAATAGCCAGGCGTGGTGGCATATGCTTTTAATCCCAGCACTTGGGAGGCAGAGGCAGGTGGATCTCTGAGAGATCAAGGCCAACCTAGTCTACATAGTATAAAAATGAAGAAAAATAACATGTGTTTGTCATGGTGGTACACATTTAATCCCAGCATTGGGGCAGGCAAATGTATCTCTGTGTTCCAGGCCAGCCTGGTCAACGTACTGTGTTCCAAGCCACCCAGAGCAACATAGTAAGATCCTGTCTTTTAAAAAAGAAGGGGGTGGGAGGCTGGAGAAATGCCTCAGCAGTTAAGAGCACTGACTGCTCTTGCAGAGGACCCGGGTTCAATTCCCAGCACCCACACAGCAGCTATAAACCATCCTTACCTCCAGTTTCAGGGAAATCTGAAGCCCTCTTTTCACCTCTGTGGCACTGAATTACACAGGTGCACTCACATACATGCAGGCAATACACTCGTACACATAAAATAAAAATAAAAATATTTTAGGAATTGCTTAATGAAAAGTTAAAAAGGTCCCATGACACATGCATGAAGTAGGTAGAAGGAAATGGACTTTCTCCAGGGCAGAATTGGCCCTGGGCTGGCTCTAAGCAGCTGGTATCCTAGCTCTGGTCTGGCCAGGCCTGCCCCATACCCAGGCAGATAGATCCCACATTAACCCTTGGCCCTGATGGTGACTGGGTCCCCAGAAACAGCGAAAACCCTGGGAGAGGAAGGAGTCTGGGTCCACCCCGGCCCCAACCTCAATCCTAATCTTCACGTTGAGCTGGCTCTATTGTGCGTGGCTGTGAGGCTGAGATTCAGAGTTTATGGCCCAGGAACGGAGACTTTGTTTTCTTTGGTGGCTGCTTCTTGCCCACCACTCACCACATCCCACCCATCCCAGCAGAGCCCTCAACAGAGTCGCAGGACTGCTCTCCTGAGGTTTAGCATCAGTCTTTAATGCTGTCATGCTGCATAATGACAAGTCACACACTTTGGTCTCGTGTCGGCAGTGGCGACTTACAATGAGCCAGAAGGTCAGAGCACCAGGATGGCTTCAGAGAACAGACTCCTTCACTCCCGTTGCCCTCACTCCCGACATCTGTCTGATTCCATCACGGCCCTGGACAGACAGCAGGGGTTGCCAGGGTCTGCATTCATCTGAGTACACATCAGCTTCGCGTGGAATTATAAAAACGTATTTACAGACTTCCCAGTGCTTCTGTCATCAGAAGCAAAGACCCTTTTATCAAAAGGGATTGTACTGAGGGCTGTGCAAAATTCAAAAGGGTTAGATCCTTTTGAGAGTCCAGAGTCCATCACACACACAAAATGACTTGGGCCACCAGGAAGCCCCAGATGGCCTTTGAACCAGCAAAGTGTGTGACCCAAAAGCCAGCCATTTGGCTTCGGCAGAGCCAGAGGTCCAGGGAACCTCCTAGCTGGCCAGGACCCTAGAGCATGGAGACTTGTTCACTCCAGGCTGGCCCTGTGGTCCTACAACGAGGTATTGCTTGTGATGCTGGCCTGGCAGTCCCACATAACTGGTCTCAATTTGAGATGGCCAAAGAGAAGACAGGATTCTTCAGGGGAAGAGGTATGGGGACAAATTCAAATACAAGACCTGCTCACACAGCAGATATTGACGAGTGCACAGGGTGGTCTGGCAACCAAGATGGTGGGTCTCTGTCACACAATGGTCAGAAGCAAAGGGACAACAAAGACAGCGAGTTTAGCTGCAGGCCTGCCTCACACCCCTGGGCAGGGGCTGGAAGTGCAGAGTGGATCCATTGTGGGAGGGCTGCTGTTCCCACAGCCTGCCTATCCCTCGAAAAACCACTTAAGTCTAGTGCTCGACTTTGAAAGATTGTAATATATGCTGCAGAAAACATCAGGCAGAGCGAAAGCCCTCCCTGGGCCCTCCCGCCCTCTTGTAGTGCACAACTGGTGGAACGGTCTGGAAATCCTCAAGCTCTAGAAAGGTCCCTGGCTCAGTCCTTGGGGAATGCTGTTGGGTTATATGGGAAGAACCTGCTCGAGGACGCTTCTGGATGTCAGGGGGATCCTTTCGGGGAAGATCACTTCAAATTCAATAATGAGGTCCCCACGTTTCTCCGGGGTTTTGGGCAAAGGGAGGCCTTCTCCAGGAACTTTCCGCCGCATGCCAGGCCTGATGACATCTTTGAATACAACAGGGATGGTCCTGCCGTCCAGAGTGGGAACGTTCACTGTGCAGCCACAGAGAGCCTGGGGAAGGAAAAGGACAATGTCAGGTGAAAGCTAGCTTGACTCCTCCAGGCCATCTGAAGCGAATCGGGTCCACCACACCTAGGTGGAGAGCCTGCCTCCAAAGCTACCCGTGCTGCCAGCACAACAGAGCCCTGGCTGGTTTTGCTCACTGCTCCCCACAGCATCTGTCTCCTTTCAAGACACTGCCCACCTTGTGCCTTACCTCCCGAAGGCTGATCCTGGCAGGATAAATGACATCAGAGCCATCTCTTTTGAAGACATTATGTGGCTTGTCCTTTAAAACAAAGACGATGTCAGCTGGAATGTTGTTAGAGGTCTGGTCCCCTTCCTTGGGGAAGGTGATTTTGGTCCCTTCTTTCCAACCCCTCTTCACTTCGATGGTCAGTATTTTATCTTCATTTCGAATGCTCTTTCCATCAGGGTTCAGTCGCTTGTGGGAGATTTTCATTTTCTTGGTACAGCCACTGTAGATCTCTTCAAGAGAGACCCGAAGGTCATGGGTGACTGGGGGATCTTGCTTCTTCCGGGTGGGCTCTTGAGCAGGGCGGGAGCGGCCAAAGTTGGTGAAGCCACCCATGCCCATGGGAAAGCCCGAGAATGGGTCGTCGACATCCATGCCTTCCTCCCCGTTGCGCTGCCCAAAAAAGTTGTCAAAGGGGTTTCTGCCACCGAAGAACTCAGCAAACATGGCATGAGGGTCTCCATGGAATGTGTAGCTGAAAGAGGTACCATTAGTACCACCACTGTTACCCACGCTGGGGCCACCACCCTTTAGGCCTGGAGAGCAAAACAGAAGTCAGGGTTACTGATGGAGCTCAGTAGCAGAGCCGAGACCCTCAGCTTCTTTAAAGAAAGATTTGTGGAAGCTGATCATGGTGACAAATGCCTTTAATTCTGCACTTGGGAGACAAAAGGCTGGCATATTTGAGCTCCTGGCTAGCCTGGCCTACACAATGAGGCCCTGTCTCAAAAACATAAAGTCCAAATTTTACCTAGGTTTTTTTTTTGGGGGGGGGCTCAATATGCAGCTCAGGTTAGCCTCGGAACAATCCTCCTGATTCAATCAAGTGCTGGGATTGTCACATCTGGTCTTTTATGAAACCTTATCTCACTGTATATAGCTCAGGTTAGCCTCAAATTCACAGCAATGCTCCTGTTTCAGCTTCCCAAGTAGTGGTCATGAACCACAGCATTCGGCTCCGGTTTAACGTAACAGTACAAAACCCTGGAGGTTTTTTTTTTTTTTTTTTTTTTTGCTTTTTCCCGGAAGGCAAGGACGAACCTTTGACTCCCACGGCGGGCGTATTTGCTGCAGCAGACACAGGAATAACGTAACAGTACAAAACCCTGGGTGTTTTTTTTTTTTTTTTTCTTTTTAGCTTGTTCCAGGAAGTCAAGGACGAACCTTTGACTCCCACGGCGGCAGTATCTGCTGCAGCAGCAACAGGAAACAGACCACTTCCCGCTTCATGGCGACATGTCGGTGGCACAAACCTCAAGATGAGTGTTACCCAGACCCTGCCACTTGACTGCCCCATCCTCCCATGCCTACATACTGCACTGGAAAGGCCAGGAAGGGTAAGCATTCAGCAAACGGCTATTCTACACTTTCGGGCTAGCGAGACGAGAGAAACAAAACACTAGGACGATTTGAGTCCTCACACACCGGCGATCACGGCCTCCGCCCTGGGGCAGGCACCCGGGACGCGGCAGACGTGCTAGAAGCTTCCGTGCCAGCGCCGCGCCCAGGGCTCCTCCTCCCAAGGGCGGAGGCGGCGCGGCCCCTAGACATCCCGCCGAGGCCCGGGTCTCCCCTCCTGTCAAACGGCGGGGACGTCCCGGCCGCGCACGCGCACGCGCACCTTCCTCTCCGTAGCGGTCGAAGATCTCGCGCTTGCGCGGGTCGCTGAGCACGTCGTAGGCCTCAGCGATCTCCTTGAACTTCTCCTCGGCGCCCGGCTCCTTGTTCTTGTCGGGGTGGTAGCGTAGCGCCTGGCGGCGGTAGGCCCGCTTGATCTCCTCGTCCGATGCGCCGCGGGCCAGGCCCAGCGTCTGGTAGTAGTCTTTGCCCATAGCCCCACTGCGGCAGCCGTCCAGCAGTCGCCGTCCCCCGGCTCCGCCGCCGCCCGGTTCCGGACTCTATATACCAGTCCGGCGGAAGCTTCCAGAGCCCGCCAGCCCACTCCAGAACCTTCTGCCCCGCCCACGTCGCCGCCCCGCCCAATAACCGAAGCCCGTTCCGTGACGCGGCACATCCGGGGCGGGGCCGGTCTGCCAACGGCCTCCCGCGCGGGGACACGCCCCTTCCGCTCTGTACTCCGCAACGCCTCCTCAGCCGCGGGCCTGCATCCTTCTCCCAGCGAGAGGACTGGTGACGTTACGCGGCTCCCGGAAGGGGCGGGACGTAGGCTGACAGCCCTGTCAGTGCTCATCTCGCCCGCGTAGTGGTCCTGGCGATACACGTACCCTCCCCTCTTCCTCTGTGGCCTCTAGACTGCCCCTTTCCCTGGCCACACAGGCTGGTACCAAAGCGAGACGAGGGTCCGAGACCGAGGCTCACCGCCGCCGGGGGATCGCGCCAGGCCTAAGTTTGCTTCCAGGACAGAGATTGGGTTCCTCTGCGTGTGTCTGCAGTGCCTGGAAGACCGCAGCGAGTGCTTCATGAATAGTCCCAGATGCTTTGAGTGGTGCTTTTTATATGCTCTCGGGGGACAGCGGTCTTCTAAGGACATCTGCTTTCTCTGTGACAGGATCCTATTGGCTTTGAAAGTCTGGGATGATGCGGTCAAGGGCACAGCTGAGGAAGGAGAAAGGAGGATCAGAAAGGGAAAGCGCGGGAAGTTGGGGTAGGCAGTGGTGGCTCCTGCTGGGGGAGGAACTGCCTGGAGGTCAGAGCCAAGGCTGGACGCGGGCTCTGCAGCCAGACAATAGGTTTCGCCCCCCACCCCACCCCAAGGCTGTGTGACCTTGGGCTGGTAACTTAGCTACCCCAGCCTCAGTGTGCTCATTTGTAACATAGGAATGGCAGCTGTACCTGCCGCCCCCTGAGGACTCTGAAGTTGACGTTAGTTAGTCAGCATCTGAGAGGAGCTCAAGACCAGGAACAAATGAGGCATTCTCGAAGGGATAGCTAGGCATTGTGTTTAGTGGAGGACAGCTGATGTGATCTTTCTGTATCACAAGAGACTAATCAGCGCTCCCTGGGGCAGCCTGAGACCCCCTGAGAAAGATGACCCTGGGCTTCACTAGATGGTCGGGGTGGGGTGGAGATAGAGTTGGGGGGTAGGGGGAGGGTGTTCTGGCTCTTCCTGCTTACACTGACCCCAAGAAAACCAGACCAGAATCTGTAAAGACTCTGCACCAGGACTGGCCCACCTAAGAGAATGGGTTGGGATTGAGCACAGAAGGGACCCTGAACCAATGCTTGGGGGAGAGAATACATTTAACATGTTACATAAATAGTAGGAGAACCTGCTGTGGTGGCGTGTACCTGTAATCCCAGCACCCAGGAATGTCAGGCAAGCCTGGGCTACAACGTGAGACCTTGCCTCAAAAAAAAAGTGAATAGGGGCTGGAGAGATGGCTCAGCAGTTAGGAGCACTGGCTGTTCCTCCAAAAGCCCCAGGTTTGGTTCCCAACACCCACATGGCAGTTGGTAACCAGCTTTAACTCTGGTTCCAGGGGATCCAATGCCTCTAGCCTCTAGGGGCATTGCACAGGTACACATGCAGGCAAAACACTCATATACATAAATTTCAAAAATGAATAAAAATAAAATGTATACAGTAAAAAGCAGGAGGGCCATTCTTGAGGGGAAGCCCAGAGTGTGTGGAATTACTCACATTTATAGTTTGACTTTACTGGAGAATTGCAGTGTGGTTGTGGGTGAGCCTGTCTGATTTTTACTAAGGTTTCTTGCAACATGGGAGGGCAATATCTTGCCCAACACATGGTGTGAGGGATATCTTTGTGTTTGGGGACCTCAAGGCTGGAAACGCCCTGTTCCTTGAGTAATGCTGGGGCATGTTTATGAAGGTGTATTTTATTTTTAATATTGTAACTTTTTTTTGGGTCTCCTTGTAACCCCAGCTGGCTCAGAACTTGCTATGTAGACCAGGCTGACCTCAATCTGCCTGCCTCTGTCTCCTGAATGCTGGGATTAAAGGTGTATACCACTATGCCCATGCCTGCCCGGATGTAACATTTTTTGAAGCAGGGTCTCACCCTCTTGGATTCACTTTACAGCTCAAGCTGGCCTTCAACTTCTGATCTTCCTGCTTTATCCTCATGAGTACTGGGATTATAGGAGTGGGCCACTACATTAGGCTTGAAATAAATCTATATACACATGGACACAAAGACACAGCCAGCCAGACAGATACACACACACACAGAGTCTGTTCCCTCCATCCCTGACTGACAGGAACTAAGCAGGCAAATGTCTGAGATCGAGTCCTACATCCACTATTTGTGTCTTTCCTGCCTGTGTGATCATTGCTTGATCTCTTTTGGAGTAGGTTTGTCTTCTATAAAGTGGAGATAAAAATGGACTTTAAGCCTGGCATGGTGGCACATGCCTTTAATCCCTGCACTTGGGAGGCAGAGGCCGGCAGATCTCTGTAAGATGGAGGCCAGCCTGGTCTCCATAGCAAGTTCTAGGCCAGCTGTGGCTACAGGGAGACAAAAAAGACAAGAAAAGGAAAATTTTCTCATCATCTGCTAGGAGATGGAACTCAGAGAGTATGGAAATGAAGAGTATTAGAGGACTAGCCAGTAGAGGACCAATTGGAGGCTGGTTTCAAGGGTTCCGTGTATATGCTTTCTTTTTTCTGAATTGACACCCAGAGTCTGGCATATGTTAGGCTGGCTCTACTGCTGAGCCATGTTCCCAAGCTCCTATTAACTCATTAACTTGTCACAACTACCCTATGCAGTTGGACTATCATTACCCCTGCTTTACATCTGAGGAGCTGAGGGGTCATGTGACTTGCCCTGGGGAGTAAAACTCTGAAGAGCTCACCACGCTGAGTGCACGGGGTGAGCACTCAGCTTGTGTCTGATGTGACTCAAATGACAATAAAGCCTTAAAGAATTATGTTACTGCTGTCTTCAACTTTTTACCTGTCCATTAAAGACCTTCAAAAACATGACAGCTCTGTGAGCATCCAGTCCCATTCCTAGGGGAAACCCATGTTCAAGCTAGGCATGATGGTACATGCCTGTTATCCCAGCACTAAAGGGACTGAGGCAGGAGGATCATGAATTCCAGGCTAGCCTGGGATGCAGAACAAAACACTATCTCGATAAAACAGAAGTGGACTGGAGAGATGGCCCAGTGATTAAAGCACTTGTACTGCTCTTGCAAAGGACCTGAATTCAGTTCCCAGCATCTGCACTGAGTTTCTCACAATCATCTGTAACTCCAGCTCTAGGGAATCCAATGCTTCTGGCCTCTCAGGGCACCCACACTCAAGGGTACACCCTAACAGAGATACAGACACATACACATAATAATAAATATTAAAAAGCAAAGCCTAAGGAAAGAAAAAAACTATGTTTAGGGCCAGGTAAGGGCACTTGCTGTGAAGCCTGATGACCCGAGTTTGGTCCTTGGAAACCATATGGTGGAAGAAGACAACTGACTCCTGAAAGATGTCCTCTGATTTCCATATGTACACACATATACATATGAACACAAAATGTAGTTTAAAAAGTAAGCCTATGCTTATATAACAAGTGGGTTTTTTTTTTACTGAGGCTTTATGAATAATTACTAACAGCCATTAGAAGCTGAATATTCTTCAAAGTCTACAAGTTGCCATCCATCCACAAATATAGGGAAAAAATGTCACCGTACCCTAAATGCATTATATCAGTGAAAGGATCCAGGCTCAAATGGCTGTATAGTTGCATTTTCTATGACCTTCTAGAAAAGGCAAAAGTATGTGGGTAGATCAGCATTTATCAGGGGTTGGGGAGATACTACAAATGGGACACAGGGGAATTCTTTTGAGGGTGGTGGAAATGTTTTAGTTCTTAAAAAAAAAAGATTTAGGGACCAGGCATGGTGGCACATGCCTTTAATCCTAGTACTTGGGGGGAGGGGTGCAGAAGCAGGTGGATCTCTGTGAGATTGAGGCCAGCCTGGTCTACATTGGGAGTTCCAGGATAGCCAAAGCTACATAGTTTTACCCTTTCTCAAAAAAGAAAAAAAGATTTACATTTTATTTCTCCCTCTGTGTGTGTGTGTGTGTCTGTGTCTGTGTGTGTGTGTGTGTGTGTGTGTGTGTGTGTGTGTGTGTGTGTGTGTGAGTTTGTGGATATAGTGCAAAGCCCATGGAGGCCAGGAGAGGGTGTCACTTTAGTAGTCTCTGCTCTAGTTCTTGAATGCAGTGATGGCTATATGACTGTAGTGTTCCATTCTGAACAAGAAAAAGGGTACATTTTACTGTATGTAAACTCTATTTCAATAAACAAAATAGGAGCAGGAAGTTTGGTTCAGCAGTGAAGAGCACTTAATCTGCTTGTAGAGGACCAAGGTTTTGGTTCCCAACATCCAAATGGTGGCTCACAATCACCTGTAACTCCAGGTCCGGGGGATCTGATGCCCTCTTCTAGCCCCCTGGGACTCCTGTGTGCATGCAGTGCACATAAATTTATTTAGGCTCACACATATACAAATAATAAATAAATCTTAAACAAAAAGGAAAGAATAAAAAACAGGAAACATCTCAGGTAAAGTGAAATGGATGGAGCTTGGGAATCTGTCTAAGCTCCTGACACAGCAGAAA